GGCTGGGCCTCCAGCATCACCGCCATCTGGAAGGTCCAGTCCCCGTTCCGGATCAGGTCCGTGGTGAACACTCGGGCCTCGTCTTCCTCCTTCCCGTTTCGGAACCACTTGATTTCAATTTGGGAGGGCCAGAATCCGTCCACGTTGCAAATCAGCAAAGTGTGGTGAGAGGAGGAGTCGTAGCTGGAGGGGGCAATTTTCACCTTGGGCTGAACTAGAGGGAAGGGGGGAAAATGAAGGTGGGAGAGAAGTCAGGAGACCTTGCAGGTGGACGAGAGGGTGTTTAAGAAATTGCCATAGTTTGCTGTGGTCCACACAGTCAAAGGCTTTTGCATAGTCAATGAAGCAGAAGTAGATGTGTTTCTGGAACTCTCTGGCTTTCTCCGTAATCCAGCACATGTTAGCAATTTGATCTGCCCCAATTTGCTTCCTCTGCCCCTTCTAAATCCAGCTTGCACTTCTGGGAGTTCTCGGTCCACATACTGCTGAAGCCAGGCTTGAAGGATTTTGAACAGAACCTTGCTAGTGTGTGAAATGAGTCCAAATGAGTGCAAATTAATACCTTTATAATCGGCAGTTCCTTACAATGAAAAGTTTTGTAAATATCTAGTGCTAGTACATCTGCTTTTAATTTATTTTTATTTATATAATAGTTGATACTTAAACCTCTCCTTACTAAATTTGATATTTGCTTTCCTCCTATGACACCACACTGATCCTTTTTCACATATTTAGCTACAAATCTACTCATTCCGCTTGCCAATAATCCTGGGGATATTTTTGCATCTTGATAGATCAGTGATATTGGCCTATAATGATCGGTAGAGTCTTTATTTGGCTTCAATATTAAAATTAGGATAGATCGTTGCCATGAAGGTTGTATTTCTTCTCCATGTAATATTTACTTGAATCGTATTTTCGTGTTTGGAACCACTAAGTGCTGAAAAATGTTAAAATATTTTCCCACTTTCAGTCTATTTACTGCTGCTTGGATCTCATCTTCTGCCATTGATCCCTCCATCCTATCTCTAGCCTCCTCTTTGATTTCATCATTTGATATATAGTTATATATATACATATTTATATACTGTGGATCTCCTGTAGTGATGTATTTCCCCCAGTGTATAAAATTCTGAAAAATCATTCATTTTCCTTTCATTGTCTTACCCAACTCTGCCTTCTCATTCCCTATTCCACCCATTATATTTTGTTTTGCTTTTTTTTTAGTTTGAGTGGCCCTAGACAACACTTTCAACTTCTCATTACTATTTTCAAACAAATTCTCTTGATAAATTTATTAAATTTCTTTATCTCTGGATTTCACAACTCTTTCCTTTTACCCATCATTTCCATCAACCTATTTTCCTTTATATATCTTTTTTTTTTGGAGATCTTTAATTTCTTCCTCTAATTTCACCAAGTCATAGTCTTTTTGGTTTTTCATACTGTTCAAATCTTTTATGCTGACTTCTCTCCTGGCACATGTCATAGTCTCCCAAATTATATTTGTGCGGCTGCCTCCCTTTTCATTCAACTGCTGTATTTCCTTTCATTCCCTATCCATTTTTTATAACCATTGTATTTTAAAATATATTCAGGTCTCCTCTCTTTTGCTCTTCCTCTTTATAATTATGTGCCGGATCGATTCCCACAGTTTCCATGGCAGGATCTGAAATCGTCCTGGTCTTGACATCGGTTTTTACCATTCGAGATAAGGTCTCCCAAATTATAGTTGTGCGGCTGCCTCCCTTTTCATTCATCTGCTGTATTTCCTTTCATTCCCTGTCCAGTTTTCTATAACCATTGTATTTTAAAATATATTCAGGTCTCCTCTCCATTGCTCTTCTTCTTTATAATTATGCACCAGACCGATTCCCACAGTTTCTATGGCAGGATCTGAAATCGTCCTGGTCTTGACATCGGTTTTTACCATTCGAGATAAAGAGTCCTTTGACACCAATGCTTGGTGTCTCTCCTGGAATAGCTTTTCAATCTATCAGAAGTGAAATGTGGTCCTCTTCTCTTTTCTCCTGCAATTCCCTCCATACATCTTCCTTCTAAAACCCTCTCCGATCACTATTACTTGAGAATTAGACAGCCCGTCTTTGGGAGGGGGAGGGAGAGAGACTCTGCACGGGGCTTATTGAGGGGGAAGGGTCCCGGCAGCCCCC